TTTTTCAGATACAGCCATTTGTAATATAAAACCGATTGTAGGTTCTAAAAGATTAGATAATCTTCAAGATTATCTTGTAAAAAAGAAACCACATAATTCATGCTTACAATTAAATCCAAGTTCTAGACACGCCACAAACAATGGTCCGTCGAAAACCTAAGAAATGGTTTTGACTTCAACGGCATTTGGCGATGGTTTATTTTCTCTTGCGCCTTTCTTGTTATTGTTCCTTCTTAGGGTCCTTTAGACCCTTTGGAGATATTTTACTTTAGCGTTGTTGTTGTTGTAAAGATAAGTTTTGTTGTAAAGATAAGTTTTTTTCTAAAATAAGTTTTCTGTAGATTCTGATGACGTCAAGTTATAACTTGACAGAAACTAGTCAACAAATAAAATTCTACAAAAACACAAAAAACTCTTTTTATTTTTATTTTAATCTCGAGAGGAGTGAACTCATTAGAGAGAGAGGTTATATCTGAATAAGAATAACCAACTACTCATAATTCTAATAAAGTTATTTAAATCAAATAATTTATTACTTACTGTGACAGTCTAGAAATTTATGCATAAGATTATTTATTATTTTCCTGCATATGAATCAAAAAACCTATTTAGGAAGCCTCTTAGATATCAAAACAATGATATTTATAAGCTTTCAATGAATGAATGCTTTCATTGATTGGATTTTTAACTTTATAATTTATATTCTTTATTCGTAAGAGGATTCTTTCACATGGACGTTAATTAACTATGTATGTTGTTTGTGGGATCTGAAAATCAATGTGTTTGACAAATAGACTCCAGTATCAATGTTGCTTTAACATTTTCTGAGAGTCTCAATCGTATCAAGGTGTGCTGCTTAGCTTTTATAAAATGGGCATACTATTACAATCTGAAGGATGCGTAAGCTTTTTGAACAATATTGTGTTTCTTCTTTTAGTTTTCCATTGGATTCTGGCTCTGATTCTGATGAATGGGAAGATATTAACGATATCGATAATGATGATCCCATTGATGTTAATGAAAATTTAATTGATGCAGTTTCCGATTTAATAAATGATGAAGAGGAAAAAGGTGAT